CCTTAACGTCTGCTTACCCGGCTTTTTATTATAGGGATTCAAGCGTGGTGTTTTAATTATTGACGTCGTTTAGTCTTTGCTGATATTTGTTTGCACTAAAGGCGTTCACTTAGCTGGTAGCAAGCCAGTTTTTAGCCGATTATTTGACATTTTGTCGCGTTGTGTCTAGTGTCATTTTATTTCACGCTCGGGTAACTTCGTCTCCCACCGTGCAAAGGTAGTTTTCTCTCATTCATTGTTATGTTTCGTTCACCTTGAAAATCTAATGACCTTTACCATACAAGTGGTTGCCACAAGTTCGATATAGGCGGGCAAGTCTAGAGATACAGTTGGTAATTGAGTTTTGAGACAAATTCCCTTTAAACCAGGTTTAGTGGTACGGCCACAGAAATGAAAGAACCCTGTCCATCAATCTTACATGTATGATGATTCTTGTAATTTCCGTTACAAAGATCATTCTCGCCTTCCAGCCGTACAGAAAGCACGGACTCTCTCGGTGTTAAAAAGAGATGGATGGATGCGTCTGAGAGCCCCATGGTAGATCCCAGTTTAGGACGGAAGCTGTTCGATTTTTATCGGGCGCCCATTACCAAATTCTGGGGAAATGTGGTGAGTAGTATACTTTGGACTTTGCCGAGCATAACAAGGTAAAATAATGAAGTTTTGATCCTGTGCAACCGGGTTATATGGTTTGCTTTCCGACAAAAGACAACAGGATGACCGACAAGAGGTCCGAGCATTTCTGAGAGATTGCCTTCCCGCTTTATCTCTTTCGTGGCTGTTGTTTGTAGGCGTCATACAACACACAGAAACACACACACACACATACATACATACATACATACATACATACATACATACATACATACATACATACATACATACATAAACTTTTCTGATGTGTCTTGTAATATCTAGTCGTTGGGGTTAAGAACCTCTCTACTAATTGGGGACACAATTAATAACCTATCAACTATTTTCTAATGAAACTATTAAAAGAGGCCTAACAATATAATATAGTTAAAAACCTCTTAATTAACAACTAATGGGATAACTTGTTTAAAAAGATTAAGAATTACAAAGGATGCAATTGTAACAGTTGTCGTCTTCTACCATTACAACTAAATCAAATTTACGAATACGATTTTTAAAACTAAATAATGATGGGACAGTTCTGATTTCGCTTGGTAGCTTATTTCACAACTTTGGTCCCAGGTAGGTGAGCGAATGTTTACCATATTTATTGGTCCTAAATCTGGGAATGGCGAACTCTGCCGTCCTTAAGTTGTAGGGTGAGCAATGCGTGTGAAATAGCTCGCATATTTTGATGGGGCA